CCTCCACCAGCGACCCGGAACAACTGGAGTCGAAAACAGACTAGTTTGTGTCTGCTAAGGGAGCCATTGTGTTGTAGCCTATGTGTATACCTCCCTTTATCCTTGACTCACCAAAAATGGCTGCCGTGGTAAGACACTCATTCTTCTTATGAGGGCAGCGAGTCACATGACCGAGAATTTACACGCTGTTCAAATAGTGTCCCCGGCATAGGGAGTCGGCCATTTTCTTGGTTATAAAGGATCACTAACGTTCACCTAAATCCTGTATTACTGTGTAACAAAAGGTCTATAAAACGCCCTTCTCAGAATATTTTGGAAATATAATCTCCATGCCCTTTGAATTGGTTGCTCAATGTAATTTTTCAAAAGAGCAATCACCAGGTGTTACATATGTTAGTCAAGCCATGTGACTAACATATTATGTGCAACTATCTGATTTAGTTTCTTTCTTACTGGATTCTGGCTTTTTACTGCAGGCGGATTCTGCATTTAGTAGAGAATTGTAGTGATCAAATTCTCAAGTGAGATGACAACACACGTTACAATCTGATCTTACAATTTGGGAAGTGAAGGTTAAAAAGCAAACAGAACCATGGACTGGATAATAACAAAAGGCTGCAACCAGTTTCGGGACAAGGTCCTCTGGCACACCAAAGTGAGGATGTCAAACTGCATCTCCCACACCCAAGTTCTTCAATTTGGCATTGTAAAAAGTAGCAATATGTGAAAAAGTTCATATACAAACAGTAAAAAAAAAAGTAAGGGAAATCAATGAAGGGGTTAAATAAAATAGGGTTAACATTTTCACTACAAATTTTAAGGTTACAAAAAATGAATTTGGGTTAACTATTAATTTTATTCTGTGATTTGTCCCTTTTATCAAGGCGCTAAAATCATGTTTCTGGTAGAAAGCATTTTTTTTCCCACTTGGCGCTACAAACATGAGCGCAAATTTAAAAATGTACATACAAACAATAAACAAACAAAAAAGTAATTACTGAATGAAAGCTACAATAGTATGAATGCAGAGCAGGACCCGAGCTGTCAAACAGATAGCTCAGTGCTGCAGATTACAATTGGGGAATGCGGCTTTCCCTCATTAGAGCTCTGTGACCGCCGGGCCTCATGATCTCTTTATCAGAGCACACAAAGCTCCAGATAGAGAGCCAGGGGGCTGTTACACTGACCTTTTGGCTAAAATCGAGTGTAGTATCTGTTCTTTTCAGTTTCCGGGGGAGAATGGTGTCGTCCCTGGTCT